GAAAATATTTTTTTACACTTATCAAGTATCCGATATATATAAAATATTTTTTACACCTATTGGGTATCTGATATATATCTGATATTAGGGATGTACCATGCACATATTGAATACCCGATGTGTGTATGTTTTATCAATTTTCGATTAGTATAAGTTCAGTGAATATAAATACTAACCTTAATTGTTGCAATAAATTTTGAAAGATATTGTTAACAATGTAATTTCACTATAATAAACTTTGAAGGATATTGTTAACAATGTAATGTTAATTAAAATTACTGTGATAAATTTCTAAAGAATTTCATTGACAGTGTAATGTTGACTAAAATTGTTACAATAAATTTCTGAAGAATATTGTTAACAGTGAAATTGTCAATTGAAAAATACAGTAATATAAATATAAGTAATGACCATCAAAATGATATATTATGAATATCTAATATAAATGAAGGTTATTAATATGAAATTATTACGAAAATAATAATATTTATAAAATTTCATACATAAAGATATCAAAATCGATAACCTTCAAAGGTTATCGATATGAATTTACTATGAAAATGATAATATTCACAAAATTTGTCACGTGAAAATATCAAAATTAATAATCTTCAAAGGTTAGCAAAGATCTTTGAAAGATAACATATTGAAAAATAGCGAAATACTTATGTTAATATTAATTTTCGAAGGTTTTTACTAAAAAAAAATTTCTGATAAATTATTCATTTAATTTTAATGATATAAACCTGTCTTTTTAATAATATGTAATTAATTTATATATTTGAGATTACTTAATAATATTTTTAATATTTACTTATAATATAGAAAGTTTTATATATAATAACAATCGATAATTTTATATATAATTTTTTAAAATCTTTCATATTATATGATTTGATATTTAGGGTAACCATATATAAATTATTATTATTGAACTATGTATAATAAATAGTAATAAATTAAATAATTAGATTAAGAATATATCATTAATAAAATAATAATTTAAATTCATCAACAAAATAACAGATTATATATTTATTATTACAATATAATAATTATAATAATTATATACAAAATTATCAATTGTTGCTATACATAAAATTTTTTATATCACAAGTAAATATCAAAAACATTACTAGTAATTTCAAAGACAGGAATTATTTATATATTATATTAAAGGATAGACCTTTATCATTAAAATTGAGTAAAAGATTATTATTTTAAATTTTTTATCTATTCGAAATTTAATTATCAATTGTTATCTCAATTTTGATGACATAGGTCTCAATTTTTTATAGAAGATACATTATTCTCATCTTAGAGATTACTTAGTATTGTTTTTAATATTTATTTATAAAATAAAAAAGTTTTATATTTGATAACATATGATATAGTTTGATCCTATCAACTTGAGCAACTCAAGTCAAGCTGGACTACAGATTAACTGACTTGAAGTCAAACTGAACCAATGACTTGAAACCTTCAAGTTAAACCAGTTCAGCCTCATTAATTTGGTTCAGTTCAATTCAGTTTGACTTGAATTTAATAACACTAAATAGGACAATTGATTTTTATATAGGAATTACCATTTAGTATAGTGATTTTTTTGTATTTGACTAGTGATATATATGTCAAGTTATTAACTAAAAACTATACTTGCACGCAAAATTATTTTGGGGGCCCGAAATTACAATTTTGGGGAAAAAAGTCAAAATAGTTTTTTATAGAAGATGAAATTATTTTACTTAAAATCCAAAATTTTTTGACCACCCAGATTTATTCTTTAATTAAAGATACATATAACTAGGTACTTTTTTTACTTCCATATATAGAATAGATTTTGCATAAATCTCAAAAAGTCAAAATACCTCAAAAATCTAAAATCAATTTTGGAAACATGTATACTAAAAACAATTTGTTTATTTTATTGTGAACTCGTAGAACGATTGTAAATTTGTAGATAATTACAAATTGTAGAAATTACAAATTTTTTACCATTGAAATCCTTAATAATTATGATATAGGTAGTAATATTATAATCCTTAATTCATAATTACAGATACTATCTTTAATTATTTGTTAATTATCAAATTTGCAATTATTTATAATTATATTTTTTAAAGAATTTTTGTATTTTTTTACTTTTTTTTTAACTTTGTTTGCAATTTGCAAAATGTAGAGTGATTTTCTATTAAGATATTTTTAATACAGAAAGAAAGGCTTTATTCTTAGCTACAAAATAATATGTATTTTATAGTAGCATCAATATTTATAAAAATATTTATGTTTAATATTGAATGTATTACTATATTTTTTTTTTATCCTCTTCGTTATCATCATATTTCACTCTCATTCCTATCTATCATATTCTGTTACCTTTAATCTTTGTCTATATAATTTCCCTTTTAATTGTCACTACCTTCCTTTTACTCCTTTTTCTTGATATTACTTATCAATACTTATTACCACTTACCTTCACTTATCCACTTACCTTATACTATTCACTTCATTTTTGTCTTCTTCACCATTCCCTCCATTCCAAATTTGTCCTAAAAATCTTAATTCTTTATTCTTTTTCCTCACCTATATTTATAAATTCTTTTGGCTACACCTGTTACGTGTCACAGGACTTCTGATATACTGCGAACTGTAGATACTATAGTCTACTACAGATTACTGCAGAAATCAACATTTTACTTAGATGGTGACCACTCTTCTTAGCAAAAGATCACTCATCAAAGTGAAAATGCAAATGTTTTGAACTGCCATTACCTCCACAGTGGCCAAGAAACTAAGCAAGACTGAAATTAAGTTTATTTTATTATTTTCTTTCTTTTTCTTTCTTTTTTCTTCTTTTATTATATAATTAATTGATAGATTAATTTATATTTTAGAATAGAATTGAAATAACTATAAAAGTAGTTTTAATTTTTTTTTCTCATATAATCAATCAACAATTAATAATGAAATAATCAATTAATTAATCAATCAATAATAAATATAGAACAAATAATCAATTAGTGATTAATGAATTTTGATTAATTCTTTAGATAGTTTTTGAGTGAACACAGGATAAATTTCTTTACTTTCTTTATTTCTTTTTGTATTTTCTCTATTTTCTTAATAAAATCTTTATTTTATCTATAAATAAGTTATACACATGTTTATTTCTTTCCTTGTATTTGTTTATAAATTATAAATAAAGTTTATATTGTATAATCCAGAGTCTTAAAATAAACTATTAATCTTTAATTCTTCGCTCAAACTGTCACATGACTTAACCAGAACTTACTTTTTTCATTCTTTGAACCTATCCATCTTTTAAATCTTTACAAAGTCCTAATAAAACTATTCCATTTTGTTTCTTATTGTCTTTAGACTAGAATTTGTCATATTTTCTCTTCTCTATATTCACTATTCTTCTTTTAATTGTCCCTTCTTTGTTTTATCCAATTTCTTTGCCTTTATTGTCCTATAGTATAGAAAATTAGTTACTTTATTATTATTTGTCTTTCTATACTCCCAAAACCCACTAATAACTACCGGGCTAAACCCAAACACTTGTTGTACTTGCCCCCTTGCTCTTTCAACAGGTAGTATTAATGTCTGTGAAAAATTTATGATGGAAATTTCACAAAGGTTTGACTTTAAACATGAATATCTTTGTGAATATCAATGCTATTGAAATATACATGTTCCCAAAATTGATTTTGGATTTTTGAGATATTTCGACTTTTTGAGATTTATGCAAAATCTATTCTATATATGGAAGTAAAAAAAGTATCTAGTTATATGTATCTTTAATCAAAGAATAAATTTGGGTGGTCAAAAAATTTCGGGTTTTAAGTAAAATAATTTCATCTTCTATGAAAAACTATTTCAACTTTTTTTCCCGAAATTGCAATTTCGGGGCCTCAAAATAATTTTGCGTGCAAGTATATATTGAAATAAACATATATTATTTTGTAGCTAAAAACAAGGTCTTTCTTTTTATCTTAGAAATACCTTAGTAGAAAATCACTTTACATTTTTCAAATTGTGAATAAATTAATAACAAAAAAATTTTTTAAAAAACTTTAATAATCTTGACTAATTGTGAATAATCATGAATAATTGTGAATAATCATAACGAGATGATTAATTGAGTACAAATATAGACCCAATTCCTAACACTAATTATTAAATAAAAAATTGCTAATAATTTTCTTATTAACATATTTTCAAATATCTTCTTGTTTATTTGCGAATTGTCAATTAAATATTATGGCAATATGGCAATTAATTTTGACAGCACCTATATTTGTGACATTAATAAAACATGTATTTAAGAAGATTACAACAGTGGCATTTATTGTTATAATTCCCTTTTTTGAATTTTGGAAACTAACAATAACAATCAATCTGAGCCAGATTATGTACAGTGAACTCCCTCTACAAGCACACCTCCTGGGACCATAGAAACAGAAAATAAAAGGTGTGATTATAACCATATAGAGGGATTTTTATATAGTATTACTAAGTATTGGTCCTCATGAAAGGTGTGCTTATAAGTGGGGATTTATATGATGTGATTGTACAGGGGTAACTATAGAGGAGATCTACTGTATTAATAAAAAGAGTATAGTAGTTATTTTTTGTATTCCAAAGCAGCAGTAAATTCTTATTTATTAATAACCTGTTATTTAACTTTACATAAGCTAGTTAGGAAGACAATAATAGTACTATGTCAAACTTCCTTTATTCAATATAAAAGGTGAAGTTTCACAAGACTGTACTAGTCACCAAATAGATTAGCAATACGAATTATTCTGGAATATTATTATTACAGGAAATTTCTTTATACTAATACAAAAATTTGCAAATATAATAAAAACATATATAAATAAATAAAATATTAAAATAATAAAATAATAAAAAATATCTCATCATATTCACAAATAACTCTAATTCACACAATTCGGAATTTAATATATATCTATTTACACGTGTTTAATACTCGTTCACCTTCCCAATGTATCAATATCATCATATCTTGGCAGATCAGTTTCGTTTTGAACTCTAGCTGATAGAACAGCTTCCTTACGCATATTAAGGTGGAATAAGGTAGATTTAAAATGTCTAACAATAAATTCTGTTAGGTCTCCTTCTGGTTCAACAAGCGTAGATGAAGCTGACGAAGGGGGATGTTGATCTGGGTTGTCCATATTTGAAAGGTTGGTATTTATAAGATCAATTAATCCATTGAGATATTTAACCGTAACCTATGAAATGAAATATTAATATGTAATATTGAAATACAATATTGATAATTAATAATAATTATTATTATAAAATTTAACTTACTGCTTCGTTCTTCCTTTCAAAGTAATATATATATCTATTCAAGATTTCTATGAATAACTCCACGCTTGTCACAGAATCCATACACGAATCTGCAATTTTGAGGGCTTTCTGTAAACACTCAAGCACTCGTTTGCCATCACGGTAGAGTTCCTATAAGATTATGGTGTTAATATTAATTAACCAAATTCGTTAAAAACATTATATTACAAAAATTATTACTTCTGGTGATTTATGATTTCGTCCTTCAATTTCAGTAGCCCACCATAAGTGACTAGAAAGATAAACTGCACGGCATTGATCCGGTTTCTTGAGCAATTTACTTCCATATAAAGCACATTTAGTGATTAAAGTATCATAATTCTCTGGGCTAAACACACGAGTGGTTTGCAAAGCATTAATTATAAGAGTAATGGCTTGAAATTGTGCACGAGATTCTGAAATAGATTCTTCGTAAATGGTGAACGCCTAAAACATTCAAATATTCATAAAGTAAATAAAACTTTCCAAAGTATAAAATATCATTTTGCAAACACAACCTGTACAAAAAATTCATAACATATTTCTTCAAATCCGCATTCGTCAGCACTTTGTCCGGCGAGTAGAAACAACCGTAAACATATATCAGAACATTCAACTTTATTATAGAGGATAGAAATAACTTGATGAATGAATCGGAAAAGTGTGGAAGTTTTTTTCTCCCAACCGTCATCCTTTAAAAAGGATTATATAGATTTATGGAATTTAGAAATAGGAAAATAGTTTGCACTTAGAAATATAATTTATAAAAATAATGCTTACGTGTCCTTCGATTTTCTGATATTTTCTCGCTAGCTTAAAAGCTGATATAACAAGAGGCGGAAAAGTGTATCTTATCCTTTCTCCACCTTCAGCGAATTGCTTACGTGCAGTAGTAATAAGCTAATTGTAAATATATTTTGAAAGAAAAATATTATTACTGTTATTATTATTGTTGTTAACGATAAATCAAAAATATATTAAAATCTATTAACTAATGTACCATAAATTGATTGTCTGGGTCATTACTTTGGAATAAATGAATAATTCTTGCAAGCAATCCTTGCTCTTCAGCAAACTCTTCTGGATCCATTAGTGGAGGAATTCCGTTAGACCTATTATTCCTTGAACTTGTAAGCCCACTAAATGGACTTGACAGAGTTGCGTCTTTTTGATCCCGGATAAGAACGTTACACAAATCTAATACACCATTAACTTCCTCGGGTGTCTCAATTAAAGTTTCATTCTTAAGGATTGAGGAAACAATAGCGTGTGCTACGGCACGCCGCGTTTGAAAAGGTTGAACAGAAAGAAGTGAAGTATAATTTGGTAATGCAAGGAGTGTAAGAACTGTAGCATACGAATTAATTGGAGCCAAGAGAAGATTAAGTAAATTGGAAGTAGTTATGGGATTGTGTAGGTCCGGACTTTGAAAAAATGTAATAAATTTCGTGTCAGAATTAAAAAGGTTATAATAATCAAGAAATTCACATTCAATAATTACCTGTCGTGGAAATCCAAAACTTTTTGTTTAGCAAATTCAATAACTTGATCAACATATTCAATCTTATCAGGATAACAACTTAATGACAGGTTAACTAAAGATACTATTAAAGCGGTAATATCTTGAATTGATAAATCGGGACGTGCCTAAATTTAAATTTTGTATTGTCTTCATTATTTCCTCATTACCAAAAAATCTTTAAAATAGATGATTTGGGTTATCTTGTTTTAATACCTTGACTAAATCTACAATTTGTCCCCAAAATACTTCAAATAATTTTACATCTTCAGGAATACCACGAAATTTCCTTATTACAGGTTCTTGCTCTTGTTTGAAATTATCTGATTGAAATTCCCTTCCATTCTCTTGATCTTCATTATTACTTTCATTAGATTCAAAGCTCTTGTCTTCAAACTCATCATCTTCACTGTATCCACCTATTTTCTGTTTTTTTAATTTTTCAGCTAACCTTCGAGCAGCTTCTTCCTCTTGCCGTTTAATCACTTCTGGTGGTTCAGAATCTGCTTCACGAGCAGCATAAGCTGCAAGACGATCAATAAGTGCAATAACAATTTGTTTAACGTTAACTTTTGGATGTAATTGAGCAGTGGCAGAAAGATATGGTCCAAGTGTTCGTAAATGGAAATCATCATGAAATACCTGCCAACAAAAAAAAATAATAATAATGTAAGTATACGTAAAAATGATTTCACAATTAGGAAAATAAAATTATTTACTTGTATTATGACTTCCATTAAATATTCCTGAGCAATAACATCATTACATTTGATGACTTGTTCTAAAATAGCTGGTAATATGGTCTGTTTAATTATTTTAAATTTTATTAATTAAAATTAAAGAAGGAAATAATTAATGAAAATAATAAAAATTCAATAAATTATTTATACCTGCTGATACAAAGCCAAATCAACACCTTCTAGTTGACTAAGACGAACCAAATTTGTTCCTACTAAAATTCTTAATTCTTTCCGTTCCATCTCTCTTTTCTCACGATCTCTAGAATGCCCTTGATGTTGGAGTCGAACCCATAATTTATTCATCTCAATAAAATTGGTAAGAATGAATGAAATGGAATCTTGCAAGTTGCCTTGCGGACTTGAATAAAGTCAATTGTTGATATATATATATATATATACTATGGTTAATTTTGATTAATCTTTAACGTAAACAGAAATAATGGAACTCTAATATCTACCCATTATCATTTCCAATGGGTAAAGAATCTCTTGTCATTCCGCTCAAATAGTGCCTTAAAAACAAACCACGTGTAGGATGCTGAACACCACGAGACATTTCCATCATATCTTTCATAATCTCTTTAACTGGTGCATCTTTCTGTGACATGTAAACGCTACCCACTGTGATCATAAGATATAGACGTGGAATAATATTTCCTGCGTATTGCACTAGCTCATAAAGATCTGCGAGGTAATGTTTTCCTGACTTGTGTGCATCATTGAGATAGGTGGTTAAGTGTCTAAGGGCATCGAAAATAGCCATGTCTTTATAAATAATAGTTAAAGGAAATTGAAATTGTTTAAATGTAATAACAATAAAAAAAAAGATATAAAATAGAGTATCAAACTATTTTTATTTAAAAAGATACAAAGTTCGTAATAATTTTTAGGTGTCAAAGCAGATGTACGTAACTCGGCAAGCATCGTTGAGCAATGCTTTAAGCCGTCCATTAATTTACCACCATCCTTGTTTTTTGTTATTATTACCAAGATTGTGAATAAGTATATTGTGTTATTTTCAAAACCTTTAACGTAAAAACACCTACCAGGCATTTTTTCATTTGAAAAGCCTGAACTTTAACCACATTCAATGCTTCCTCAAGGAGCTTCGTCTGATCCTCCAATGAAACAGGTGTAGAATTCATCCTATGTCAACTTAAATGCAAAAAGTAAAAGTAAATCAATTTTTTAGTTGACTCCCGTTAGCATACTTAGCATAACAGAATCGCGGTCACGTTATTTGAATCATGGATACATTTACTTTTTGTACCATGCTAATCTATTCAATTGAAAGAAAAATGTATCGTGGATCACCAACTAAACTTCATAATCATGTATCGCGTCTTTTAAAAGGTGGTATATACAAAACTCCACCAACATGGTATCCAGTAATGAAATTATATCCACCTGGACCTAGCATTCTTCGATCTCCTCTTCAATTCGTGGATCCCTTGTTAACGGATAATAATAAACGCAAAGATGACACATCAAAAAATTTAAAAACAAAAATTCCTCGTCCACCAAAGATCGAATTTCCCGAGGATAGATTGCGTAAACGGTTTTATAAAGATCATCCTTATGAATTATTAAAACCTCAAACATTGTTGGAGAATAAATTTTCAAACAGAGAAAATTGGGAATCACTGCTGGGTAATAAACATCCTTCTCAAGTGACTGGCGAAAGGTAATTACCGAATTTGAATAAAAATTAAAAGATCCTATTTAATAAAATAATACATTTGCTTCACATTTTCCTTCACATTTTGCTTCATAGTGTAATTAAATACCAGCTTCATCTTATATCTAAGGGAATGTCTGAACGTGAGGCTTATGCAAAAGCATGTAATGAATTTTATGAAATTCGAGCAAGACAAGAAGTTGCTGAACGTGTTGCTGAAGAACAGGCATTGGCATTCGGTGCAAAACGTAATTTATCACAAGTAGAAAAGGCATTATGGTTGGAAAAAGAGAATATCAAAAAATGCCCACCACAAATAACTCAAATGTCAAGACCAGCTTCTTAACATAATTTAAAACTAGAAATATTATATTTTTATGATATTTATTATGTTTATATATTTATTTAACTTCTATAATACAATATAATACAAATAAAAAAAGAAAATTTAAAAAACAAGATTTTAATCCATTTTAGGCATAATATATAATATAAAAAAAAAAAGATATACTGATATACTGGCCGGAATTACCGAAATTGGATAAAATTGATAAAAATTGAAATACATGGTTTTAATTACTGTTTCTTAAACCATTATTATTTTAGAAATGATTAGTGCTTTTTTTATCTACAATCAGAAAGGTGAAGTTCTCATCTCGCGCTTATATCGTCAAGATTTAAAGTAAGAGTATGACTTTAATTATTTCTTTCAATAAACAGTATTTCTCTGATCATTTAACACCAAACCATTCTTTAAAAATGTTCTTTAAATTGTCTTTAAAATGTTAGACGTTCTGTAGCGGATATTTTTCGAATACAAGTAATTTCCAACACAGATGTACGATCTCCTATTATTACTCTTGGATCTACTTCATTTTTTCACGTTCGTCACGAAAATCTTTATATTGTTGCAGTTACGAAATGCAACGCCAACGCCGCATTAGTTTTTGAGTTTTGTTATCGACTTATAAACATTGGAAAAGCATATTTTGGAAAGTTGGACGAAGAAGCTGTAAAAAATAATTTTGTGTTGGTGTATGAGTTGCTAGATGGTGAAAATTTATATTTAATTTTTTTTAATTCGAATTTTATTATTGAATTAATAAATTTAATTAATATTAAGAGCATTAATTTAGTCCATTTTCGTTAGTTATAAAAAACTTAAAAAATTTGGAATTCGCATCTTGGATTAAAAAAAATAATATGTGATTATTATAATTATTATAGAGATCCTTGATTTCGGATATCCACAGAATAGCGAAACTGAAACTCTAAAATTATACATTACCACTGAAGGAGTGAAATCTGAACGTGCATTAGTAAGTGTAATATAAAAAATATAAAAAATATAAAGAGAAAGTTTATATATTTGTGAAAAAATTATGTAATTCCATTTCTATAACATTTTATAAATAGAAAGAGGATTCTTCAAAGATTACAATTCAAGCAACGGGGGCAACTTCATGGCGTAGATCAGACATAAAATATCGAAAAAATGAGGCATTCATAGATGTTATTGAATCAATTAATTTATTGATGAGCACCACAGGTTTGTGGATCACATCTCATTAAAAACAAGATTACATTTATTATTATTTATTATTATTATTATTATTATTATTATTATTATTATTGTATTTATGATTCATTAATAAGGTACAATATTAAGAGCTGATGTATCGGGACGAATAATGATGAGAGCATACCTTTCTGGAACACCAGAATGTAAATTTGGATTGAATGACAAGTTATTACTGGAAAAAGATGCTTCACATAAGGGAGGGTATGTTTATTGTACCTTTTATCTTGTTTTTTTTTTTACTATAAAGAAATATTTTTAAATATGCATATTATTAATATTATAGTTCAAGGAAAACAACTAATACTGTTGAGATTGATGATTGTCAATTTCATCAATGTGTCAAATTGGGAAAATTTGATTCTGATAGAACTATTAGTTTTGTACCTCCAGATGGTGAATTTGAATTGATGAGGTTTGTGCTTTTCTACTTTCTGTTACTTTTACATTCAAAACTTATAATATACACAAAATATACAAAGTTTTTGATCTAACCCTTTGATCATTTAAAGGTATCGCACAACTGAAAATGTCAATCTTCCTTTTCGTGTACATCCAGTGGTCAATGAAATAGGAAAATCACGTGTAGAATACCGGATTTCAGTGAAAGCAAATTTTTCACAAAAATTATATGCAAACAATGTCTTAATAAGAATTCCTACACCTCTTAATACTGCCAATATTAATTTACGTGCTGCTGCAGGAAAGGCAAAATATGTACCAGCTGAAAATTCTATTGTATGGAAGTATATATCAAAATTTATTTATTCTTTACATATTAATTATGATTTTGAGAATTTCTATTGAAAATTTTTATTTTGTATATGAAAAATAGAATAAATCGATTTCAAGGACAATCAGAGGTAACATTATCAGGTGAAGCTGAACTGTCAGCGATGACTATCAAAAAAGCATGGTCAAGGCCACCAATTTCAATGGATTTTCAAGTATTAATGTTTACATCTTCAGGATTGTTGGTAAGATTTTTGAAAGTCTTTGAAAAAAGTAATTACACAAGTGTCAAATGGGTAAGGTATATGACTAAAGCCGGAAGTTATCAAGTTAGGGTAAGTATTCATCTTTGAATTTTTTATATTAAAAGAATATTTATATTTAACAATTAACATTACATTTTTTTTAAAAAAATTTTAGTTTTAATTTTCAAAATTGAAACTCTCCTTAATGCAAAAACATATTTAATTTATTGTCCAATTTTATTTCCTATAGAGAAGTTTTATAGAGTATTATTAAAATAATTTGTAATTTAAAATATAATTATTAAAAATGTATTCTAATTTATAGTATTTAACAAAAATATTATAAATTTTCTTTTAAGATTAAGATGAATTGAAACCAGGTCTAATACTATTTTTTGGAAATATAAATTTAATAAGTAATTATTTGAAGTTGCAATCTGAAATTAAAGTTGCAATCTGAAATCAAAGTAGTAACTTGAATTAAAAAGTAATAGAAAAAAAGTGAAGTTTTGTTAATTACATACAGTGGCTTAGCAGCAGGAAGACCGAACAGACTTTTGCTTGTTAACTTTCGGTTCTGCTAGAGGTTTTTCATCTTTTTATTGGTAATATCCCTAGTGTTTTTTTTTGGGGGGATTTTTTTTTTTGATTTTTAATGGTCAGAACTGTATACTTTTTAACTTTAAAAATCAATACGACAAAAACAAACTTGCTTTATACTTCCTTCATCATTAAATTTTTTTAGGCGTAAATTTTCGAAATATTACGTAATATTACGGAAATTTATGCGATAAAAAATTCGTTTTTGACTTCGCTCGCGATTTACGCTACAGGGAGCGATTTTTACCAAGGTGTTTCTAAGATGGATTGAAAGTTCTAGTTCCTGGCTGCAAGATGATATGTGTTTCATTCCTGCATCATCGATATTCATCGAGCTATTCACGTTTAAACCCGGACGTCCGTGAAAATTTTCTTTCGAAATATTATGAAAATTTTTTCGAAAATCTACGTGTTGTAATATTACGTATATTTCGCGAAATTTTTCACGGACGTCCGACTTTAAACGTGAATCTTTCGATGAATATCGATGCTACAGAAATAAACACATATTATCTTGTAGTCAGGAATCAGGGCTTTCGATCCATCTTAGAATTATCTTAGTAAAAAATACTTTTATTTGTAGTTACTATTGGTCGACGTGTTAAATTAATTGCATTTGATCTCAAGAATTTTATGTCGGTCGATCGTAGCTGCATATAAAAATATTTTTTTTTTTGCTTATGTATCATCGAAAATGATACTAAGCAACCTTATTCTAGAGAATACAATGCATCTACTGTAAAAGTTTGAGATTTTTAAAACACAATCTGGATGAGTAATTAGTGATTTTACAGTCTTCGAAGTGGCTAAAATAGTTACTTGTTGATTAAGATCTGCGGCTAGAGTATTTAGTTCCGAAAGGAATTCATGATGGTTTGAAACCTTTTTATTATTAATTTTTCATTTTGCTAAAAAGAATTTGTTAATAAAAAAATATTATATGTATACCTTGACATTTGTATTTACTTCGACAACTGGCATCAAAAATTATCGGCTTATAAATGATTTTTTCATTATAACAATAAAAATGGTTTATTTCATTATAACAAAAATGATTTATTCATAAAAATAAAAAATGATTTATTTATTTAGATTCTTGTCTAAATCTTTGCCTAAATTTTATTTACTATTATTGTTGAATTTGTTTGATTTATGATGAAGCAGTAGAATATTCTTGCGGAGGAATGATATTAATAGAATCCAAATTAGTCTGTTTCTTCTTCCACTACCCCTTTATGTATCAAGAATCTTTTCGTCTCGGGTTTTCATTTATTAAATAAATACCCTATTTAAAATAATTATAGAATAAATAAATGTAGATATAAATATAAATATAAATAAATTTATTATATTCATTGCTGCTATAACTAATGCAAATGTCCAAGAGTTTCGTTCTATGATAAAATAATAAAATAATAATTATAATTGAATTTTCTTCACTATAACAAATAAAAAGAAATTTTATTATTTACGATTTAGTCACGTGAATAATATACAAGCCAGACCTCTCTATAGTATAGTCACACCTCTTTTATAGTCTATTAATGTTATGTAAAAAAACCTCTATAATTGTCACACCTCTATATAGTCATGTTTTTTTATCCCGAAGGTGTGACTATAGAGGGGTTAACTGAACGTCGACATTTATTTTTTCATCTAATAAAAAGATATATATTGTTCCATTTGAATATCTAATTATTATTCTAAAACATCATGTTATGCATTTTTGTTTTATATCAGATATTTATTTGTAGCCATAAATATTTTGACAATTTAAATTTTTGCTTTTTTTCCTGGTGACACGGCTCATTGAGTCATTGTAATATTTTGTAATGTATTGTTTTTGCAGAAATTTGCATTTACAGCTACTAAAAAAAGTAAAAAAAAGCTGCTAAATGATAATGCATTTTTTGGATCCAATTTAAAGAGTATTTAATCGTCCGACTAGCGACATTTGTCTTGATTCTGGTATTCACGTATTTAAACGATGACAAAACTAATTGGACTAATATTCTCCATAATTTTAATAATAATAAATGCCTCACTTTTTGAAGCCGTCCCGTTAAGAAAACATAAAGAGCGGTCGCCATTATACCGAAAGAAATTTGACGGATTTACACTTCGTTCCGCAATTCCAAGTTCCGATAAAACATGGGAGAATTGGGCTGGAACTATCCATTTGGCGCCTGAAGCAATTTTCAAGCCAACCACGCTCACCGACCTCCAAGACATCGTGAACTTGGCAAGAACGAATGGGAAAACGATTCGGTGTGCCGCTGAGGGGCATACCTTAAGTTCGTTGTCAGTAACAAAGAAATATTTGGTGATAATTAATAATTTAAAAAAAGTTCAAGTTCTGCAGGACGAACATTATGGTTGGGTCGTTATTGCGGAAGCTGGTAGGTTCTTTCTCAATAAGTAATAACCATTTACGATTGACAATTTAATTGATGATGAAAAACAAATCAGGCACTCCAATTAGAGAAATCGATTATGTCCTACGAACCAACAACCCGCCATTGACTCTTCCATCGGCAATTGAACCGGACCACGTTAGAGCTGCTGGAGTTGTTGCAACTGGATCACATGGCGCAAAAACCGCATTAAGCACCATGTCTGATCAAGTTGTTTCAATGAAAATCGTCGCCGCCGATGGCAAAGTGTACGAATTCTGCGACACAACGAATGCTTTGGAAATGCAGGCCGCCAAACTTAACTTGGGTAATTATAAAATTTATAGAATATATAAGATTTAATGATCTATTGGTAATTAGGAATTAACCCCTTTTTTGCTTAGGTTTATTCGGTATCATTTATTCTGTGACCTTCCGCACGGAGCCAATGTTTAATCTTCATATGATAGATACTCTTCCGTTAGCCAAAGATTTCCTTGTTCCATCTGTCGTCAAGCAGTTGTTTGAATCTTCGGATAGTCTTCAAATCTTTTATTGGCCATTCAATTCATATGATCCAAGTGCATCGCAACCACTTGATCCGACCAAGGATCAATTGTGGGTAAACCAATTTGTGCGAACTGATGAAAAACCAACTTTATCACCAGAAGAATTTGCTGCCTTACGTGTTTTTCAAAACGAGACTTCTTTTTTAGTGAACTATCAATATCAGGTCATGCTTGAAAAACCAGAATATACTCCGGCCATTACTTCAACGATCTGGCATGAGGGACCTGGAATAGCACCGGTCAGCCTCGTACTTCAGGCTCCAGACGCGATCCACTTTTTGTCCTCCTATTCTAAAAATATCCCGGGGAATTTTGCTGCGTTTCTATTCAAAGTTGATCCGGATTTTAACGATTTCGTTAAGGAATTTCAGGCTATCATCAATGCGGTTAGTATTCTAAATTTCAATTATGATAATTACAGTATATTTACGGAAAAAAAAAATGAAACTTACTACAATCTCTAATTTACAGACTTACGCGGCAGCAGCACAAAATTCTTTCCCATTTAATATAATTGCAAGTGCACGATTCATAAGATCGTCGCATGCTTTACTTGCACCTACCTTCGACCCAGATCCAAATGCTGATCCAAATGCTATATATTGCTCCATTGACATAAGCACTTACCATTTTACACCTGGTTTTCAAACTTTCGTTTCATCGCTTGGACAGAAATGGATCCAAGATTACAACGCGAAGTATGTATTTTTCCTGTTCATTTTTTCTTTACTGATTTAAACCATTAGTATAATTTGGAATTAACCCGGTGTCGTAAATTATTCCTTGTCTTTCTTCAATAGACCCCATTGGGCCAAAGAATGGGAATACGTGCCTAATATAAAATCGTATCTTTCCCAAGCTTACAAAACGCAAATTAATACCTTTGAGAAAATACGTGAAAAATATGATCCGAACAAGCTGTTCTTCGATAATGAGTCATTGCAAAAAATTTTCGATGGTGCTCTCCACTAAAAAAATGATTTTTTTTAATATTTTATAAAAAAAAAATTAAGTCCATAAAGACAAATATAATTAAATGCATATGTCCGAACTGAAAATTCATTTTCATAACATGAAATTCTTCATTATTATTCAAGTACTTCATTCAATTCATAATAGATAAGGGGACATTTCCCATATAGCATATTTTTAATCATATTTATATCTTATAAATAAATAAAATGAAAATACGTCTTTAACGTTAATCTTGAGTGTTCAGCTTCGTGAGTGCAATCTAATGTTAAAAATCAATTATTTCCTTGCTTCTGCCCGAAATACAATTGTAATTATTGATGAATATACCTGACCTTGAGAAAACATAGCAGTAACCCCAAGTTTTTTTTTTTAGCCTTGATCATAAAGGTAAGACAAAGTGTTATACATAATTCGTATGCGGTCAACGGCGAATATTTCAATACTAAAATCCGATGCATTCCAATTAAGGATCAATCCCAAGTGTGAAATGACAAAACATAGGAATAAAAAAAGCAAGTTTATATTTTCATTTTGTAAATAAAAAATTGGCATTCTATTTATTTTATTTTTTTTTAGCGTATGAATTTTTTTTTGATTCAAAGGATCCAATGTCAAACCGCTGCATCAAGCCTAAAAGTTGAGTGGTTATGAGTGGTTATGAGCGGTTATGAATGGTATGATCTGTTCCTTTGACAATCACTGCACCGTTTCATATTTGTAAAAGCCTTTAAAAAAGACAAGCTTCGAAAAAATTATTTCAATTGTTATTTGATTAAATATACTGTTTAACTCGCTTTCCTCATTTTATTTTTTAAAAATCATCAATTAATATAATTTTAATAATTAATAAAATAAAATATTTTGCTATAGTGCATCAAACCTGAAAGCTGTAAGATGTTAAAGGAAATGATTTCCACATTTTTGGATTTTTCTTTTTTTTTTGAAATTTTCACCAATTTGTTTTTGTGACATCTAATAAAGGTGGATGATTTTTATTATTTACAAAAAATTGTCATTAATTTTATTTTTGAATACATTATAATATACCAATTATTAATTTAAATAAGAAAAATAACAGATCAGTACGAGATAATGAATTTCTTTTCAAATTTCAGTTAGCATGTTATGTGAATTGATATAATTGGAATAAAATATATGAGCTTTTTCCAAATTTGTTTGGAGTGTTTATATTGCCCCCTAAAAAAATTTATCCATTGATTGCTTATTATATTGTCTTCTAAAAAAAGACTTATTTCTTACTATATTTCTTAACGTGTTTAAATTTATAATTTTTACCCCCTGGGGCAAAATACCCCTATGAAATGTACCCCTTTGGACGGTACTTTGGAGATGATAATACATTCGGATCTCTCTATAATCACACTTATTATAATCACGTCTTTAAATAATCACATTTTTTGTGAGAACCAAAATAAATCTCAATATAATCATAATTCTAACAAATATTATAATCACGTCTTTAAATAATCACATTTTTTGTGAGAACCAAAATAAATCTCTATATAATCATAATTCTTACAAATATACAATAAGTTTAAAACAATTTCATTTCAATTTTTATTTTTTTGATCAACAAGCTTCAAAACAATTATTCATTTCGTAATTTGATTAAATATAATTAATTGTATCAATAATTCAATTTTTGATAAAATAAAATATATATTTTATTTTCACGTTGGAATTTTTTTTAATTTATTTTGGTCAAGTACACTTTTGCGGTAAGATCGTATCGTAAAAATGAATTAACACCAATTTTTGAATATTTATATTAAAACCAATGATGGAATTAATAATAACAATATACCACCAGCGGAACCAACATCAACTGTACAATATTCATCATCATTAATGACTGCTGCATCATTGGTATTTTCGACTTCAACAGCTACTACTTCTTTACGTAAATCAAAGGTTACTTCTTCTACTACCAATATGAATCCTAATATTAATTCGAATGTGAATACCAGTATTAATTCTAATATGAATATGAGTGTTGTAATATTAATCCTAATCTAAATGTTATTAATCCTGGTACATCGTCATCTTTTAAATAATATAATAATATGGTTTCGATAAGTGGATCAGGTTAAATACTCCTGTTATTAATATTGTAATAACTCCAAATCGATCAAATAAAGCAAATCTATCAAATCTACCAAATAAATCAATAACAAGAATCTTAGAATATTAATCAACAACAACAATATTACCAATCACAAAAAAAAATGCAACAACAAAACATACAACAACAAAAAAAATAAATCAAAAAATACATCAACAACATCAACAAGCACCACTTGTAAATGGTGGACAAATTAGTAATACTGGCAGAAACACTGTAAATAATAGCAATAATAATATTATTATCAGTAATACATTTGCTAGAAAGTCACAATTAGTTAGATCTTAACCTATTCAACCTCACCTCCACTTCTTCCCACAAAGACAATAAAACAAATCAAAATACAAATGCAATCAATAATTCTACCGTTGCTACTGCCGCTGCTGCTAATGTTTGCTCTAATTCTAATATCGCTACTGCTTCTCGACAAAAACAACAATAACGTCTTGTTATTTTACATGAAAACAACTTAGTTCATTGTGATTTACATTGTAGAAAAAATTCTGAGCTAGACTTAGATTTATTATAAGAGGAAATGAATTTACAAAGAAGGGAAATATTTATAGCTTTGGTGGAATTATGTATGAAGTGGTTAAACCATTTTGCAGACAAACACATGTAATGGTTGATGTATCAATGCAGGGATGATTATCCTTTTAAACGACCAAACTACTCACGAATTAACTGATTATTTATGGAGCACTTACAGATTTTTAGATGTTGATTATAATAGAGAAATAATGAACCTTCTCTTGGAATACCAACTTTTATTAATAAAAACATTGACTATCAAACTTTATAAAAACCTATATTAACTTCCGCCATATCATATTATATTCGAAATAAGATTTAGCCATAAGTCTTTGAACATAATATAGTAGAAAGCATTCGATTGTTTTTGGTTCTAAAGACTTACATCTGTAAAATGACTTTCCAACCATTAACATATATATAAAGCCAATAATGTTAAGGAGTTTTATATTTCATGGCAAAAATTTTGATGATGATTATTATGTTTTCTCTTTTTTCTCTTTTATCTACTGACCAATTGAGAGAGATATAGAACTTTTTTACATGGCCAAGATATTTTAATGAGTACTAATTATTGATACTAAATTACTATTCAAAAAAAAAAGCATCGAATTGTAATAGTGATAGAATAACGAAATAACGAAATTGGCTTGATAATTCACCAACCCGTATAATAGATAAAGTAGAACATCAATTAATTTGAAGAAAATAAATTTCTCTGTAGCGACTATGAATTCGAACTTACATTTATATAGTGGTGCCATTCTTACATGAATCGCGACTTATAATTATTAAATTATATCACCACTTGTTAATGGAAATTTCCTCTTGCTACTGCTACTGAAGTAATAAATTGTCTTCATAAATTAGAAATCATAATCAACACGATAAATAATATTACATAATTCATCAATGGTAATTGATCGTAATTCGATTTTTTTTTAATTAACTAAAAAAAGACTGTTGATATGTATAATGAAATTTACTAAAATGAAATTATATTAAAAAAGATATAACTCTCTTGATAATATTCGTCAAAATTAGTTTTTAATTACATCTATTACACCCCGAGAAGACAAAACCGTGACAACAAATAGTCAATTTATTAATCTATGATGGTTGTCATGAAATATAATCTCCTTAACATTATCGTTTTTATGTGTTCGGCAGAGTTATCGAACATATATAATAAAATCACTCGGTTCTAAAGACTTTCTTTAATGGGTTAATATAAATACAGTCAACCCTCTATAAATGCACCCCTCGGGGAATTAGTCGTAACATATTATTTCTTTTTATTTTTATAAATTTTTCAATTGTATTTGCCAATTTAATATACTGTGTTTTTCTGAATTTTCTTGTTGAAGTAAAAACATTTGTACATTTTCTAAACTTTTAAATGCTGTATTAATATCAATAATAATTGGTTCAATACTATCATCAGATTCTTCAGTATTTTCATTATTTTCATCTGAGTTTTTAAAAATATTAACAAGTTCAGTAATAATTTTGTCATCTTCTAAAACTTCATAAATGATATTTTCTTCTGGCATCAAAAGAAATTCCTTTACATCCATTGCATTGGGAAGACAAAGTGCTTGAATATTTTAGAAATATTATTTGTTAATTCATCATTTGTTAATTCATTATTATTTTCATTAATATCATAAAAATCATCAAGTTCATTAAAAATAAGAATATTTGTATGATTCCAACAGTTATGAATTGTTTTAACTGTAATTTCATTCCAACTTGATATCACAAAACGAATTGCTTGTAAAATATCCATCTTTAGATCTTGTATAAATTGACCAGATTCAACTTGCTCCAAAATCCATCTAAAAAAATAATAAAATTTAAATAATTCAATTAAATAAAATTCTATATAATAATTTAAATTCTAAACCTTATCAAATATGATAATTATATGATGTCTTTTAAAAGACATAATAATTCCAGCATCCATTGGTTGTATTTGAGAAGTTGTATTTGGAGGTAAAAAATGAACATCAACATTTGAAAGATTTAAACCTTCAATTTTATGACTTCCACAATTATCCAATAATAATAAAACATGTTGTCCATTATATTTTATTGCAACTTTATGATCAAAATCACAAAACCATTCTTGAAATAAAGTAGTAAGCATCCAAGCTTTAGAATTATGCCAGTAAATTATTGGTAAATTATTAATATTAATTGTTTTAAAACATCTGGGATTTGCATATTTTCCAATAATTAAAGGAGGTAATTTGTGAGATCCATCAGCATTTGTATATAATGCTATTGAAAGATGTTCTTTATTTTCTTACAACCAGAAAGTCTACGAGTTGCCAATGTATAGTCTGGTTCTAATCTTTATAAAATAAAACAAAATATTAATAAATTATATAAAATAAAAAGTGATAGATTCTATAAAAAAAAATTATATTTTAACTGATAAAAAGACCTGTTTCATCCATATTATAAATCCAATCACATGTATATTCTGCACATTTATTTTGTAATAATGGAATTGCTTCTTTAATAGCAATTTCATTTGCAGATGCTGCTTCACCTTGAAGCTTTATTTGTTGAATTCCATTACACTTTTTAAAACTGTAAAACCAACCAGAAAAAATAATAATGAATTTTCAGGAACACCTAATCCTCTTGTTTATAATTTTGCTTTTTCAATTAAAATAGCATTGCTCAAAATAATTCTATGTTGATAGCTTAAAATAAATTCTTTAAGTGCCAATTCAAGTTTAGAAAATGTTACTGATTTATGTACTTTTGTATTGAATTAATTTGATTACTAGAAAGCCATTTTTCTTTGGTTTGTAAAATTCTTGTTACTGTACTTTTATCAATTCTTACGCCCCATATTTGTTCTACCTAGTCTATAAGATCAGATCTTGTTTTTTTATTTTCATTAGCATAAAGACACAACTCATGTTTTTGAGAATCAGTTAAGGTAACCTTATTTTTTGTTATTTTTGATGAACTCATGTTTAAATAACTAAAACCAAATTTTAATTTTATATTAATTAATTTTTACATAATGGAGAAACAAAAAAAAACTTACAATAAATGGAACAGTAATGGAAAAATCATGGGAAAACAACTAAACAACTGGATGACAATCGGATATCAATAGCAAAACAAATTGAATGGGAGAAGAAACAAAATAGTGGATAATCAAATATAAATTAGAGGAAAGCAATTAGATAGATCACAGGATAACAATGACAGAGAAAACTGAAAATAAATTGTAGATAATACCAAAAGGTAAAAGCACCGAAAAAACCAATTGCAAACCAATGACAAACCAATAGCAGACCAACAGCAAAATCAATAGCAAAATCAATAAGGCGAAACAACAGAAGAGCTAAATATAAAAATTATGAATAAAGTTATAAGATTAAGTATAAATAAAATCAAACAGCAAAACTATAAGATAAAACTTGACATTAACAATAAAACCATCAATGAAACAACTGCGAAACCAACAGCAAATCAATGGCAAAATCAATGATGAAATCAACAGTAAAACAACAGAGAGCTAAAATAAAAATTATTAACAGAGGTTTATAAATAAAACAAATATAAAGGCAAAACCATGAAATAGAACTGGAAACAATGAAATTACCGATGAAGCAACTGCAAAACCAATGGTGAACTAATGACGAACCAACAGCAAAACCAATGGGGTGAAACAACAGAAGAGCTGAAATAAAAGTTATAAATAAATAGTTATAAGATTAAGTATAAATAAGACAACTGAAAGTGGACATAACGACAATCTTATAAGATAAAACTTAACACTAAAACCACAGGATAGTGGCAATAAAGCAACTGTAAAACCATGGGAACGTTGTGAAAAAGATTATCATTTCACATGACATAAAATCACATGGGTACATTTATAGAGGCTAATATTTATATGAGAAAACTTAACCTGAACTCCAGGGTTTAGATTGTTTATCCTAGACCCTAGGGGTTTAGGTTATTAGATCTGGACCTCTTTCCTAATTCAGAAATACTAAAATTAGAATTTTTAGTTTCCATATTACATTTGTATATTGTAACACGGTATACAAAATTTTATTTGATAAATAATATAACGCGTTTGCATATTTTGTTTTTTGTTTTCTTTCGCTTAGTAATTTGTTTGTAGTACTATTATCTTAAAACAATGACAACTTCAGACTATCAACCTCAAATAGATGATATATTTGAAAGTCATGACAACTTTGTAAATAAAATTAAGAATTATGCATATAAATTAAGATTTACTATTAGACTTGGAAAAGTTAAATATTTAAAAAAAGAAAAAACTATTCAAAAAAGGACTCTATTATGTTCAAGATCTGGTTATTCTGAATCAAAAAAAGAACAAGACTCTGAAGAAGAAAACTTAAGTAACAAAGGAAAAGGATAAAATAAAGTATCTCAACGTTGTGGTTGTCCATTTTTTATTCATGCTTCTTTAAATAATAGTAATGAGCAATGGTATATTATTAATATGAATCTTACTCATAATCATCAAATGATTAATGAAAATCATCAACAATTTATGTCTAACGAATGAAGTATTCCAGAAGAGATTAAACAATGAATAAAATTGTTACATTATGCTGGTATAAATGTTCCAACAATTTGTGCAATTTTAAATCAAGAATTTGGTACTCATGTTACATGGATGTATAATGGTATTTATAATTTTATTTATCAATTGGAAGATCATGGAACAAAAAAAAAAAGAATTTGAAGCTGAAAATTTTATCAATACTTTAAAACAATTTAAAAATGAAAATGAGGAATTTCTTTATCATACAGATATTAATATTAGTACAAAAAGATTGAAGCGGGTAATTTGGAT